AGAATGTGTGCATTGTAACAGTTCAATTGAATTGAATCGTATGAATGTATTCTGAATTTAGTAGTGCGTTGTAGGACAACTGGTAGAACTTGGTATAACTATTCGGGCACAACTTGGTATAACTATAATGGTAAAACTTGTAGTACAAATGGTACTCTTTGGTATAACTTGGTATAACTATGAACACGACAGAGATTATAATGTTAGTTATCCTATTCTATTTCAGGCCACAATGAATAAAAACCATCGAAAAATCATAATATATGATTATGGGGGATATTATGCAACAAGAGAAAATGAAACAAGATGGAATTCAAGAGATAAAGTTCATCAATCTCTTAGAATGGAGACAGAGGAGGTCACTTATTCTGCAGTGGTGAACAAGATATGCCGGAAGGCGAATGTTGATGAAACAACGACTGAGCTGAAATTGAGTTACGTTCCAAAATCAGTGGAGCTTAAAAGACCAATATATATATTTGATGATGATGATGTTATGTGTTATATGGATATGAATGAAGATCATTTTGAAGTTTTGCATGTCGAAGTCGTAAATCAGGGGTATGAGAAGAGTCGAGGAAGTGTAGGTTGTTCACTCAATGAGGAGCATATTTCAAGTAGTAGAGCGACAGATGGGACCATGTTCCTTGATGAAAGCGAGCCGTTTGAAAGTCATGAGATGGTGGAAAATAGTGATGGGAGAGATGGGAACATGATTCGTTATGAAGAACAGTCCGAAGAACGAGCAATAGTAGAAGATGGCACATCTGTTGCTGAGATCACACCTGTTGCAGAGATTACACCGGTTGTAAAGCGTGAGTGGGAAGATGGTTTGGATGTGACTATCCGGCAAGAATTTGAAAGCAAGCAAGTAATTAAAGATTTGGTTGAAAAAGCTGCGCACAAGAACTGTTTTGAGTTTGTTATAATACAGTCGGATCCTATGTTGTTTGTGCTTTAATGCTCAGAATTTAGAAAGGGTTGCAAGTGGGCTTTACGAGCAGCAAGGAATGGGAATGCAGATAGTTTCTCGATCAGAACTTACACTAAGATACATACATGCTTACGGTCAGAAACAAGTACAATGAGTAAAAAAGGAGAGGCACATCTCATTTAGTGGCATCTGTTTTGCGTGAAGATTTCCCTTGTCTGATAGACACTCCAATTCCAAAAAATTTGATTCCTTTGGTTCAATCAAAAGTTGGTATCAAAGTGTCATACTCAACCGCAAATAGAGGGAAAAGCTAGCTGCAGCTGACCTTCGTGGTACAGCAGAGGATAGTTATAAGTTGGTTTATTGTTATATGCACATGTTGGAGAAGATGAATCCAGGTACAGTTTCATTTGTTGAATTGGATGAAGCCCAGAGGTTTAAATATTTGTTTTTCGCCTTGGGGGCGTGCATTGAAGGCTTCAATTCCATGAGAAAGGTGATCATTGTGGATGCAACCAGTATTAAAAATGTATATGGTGGAGTACTGATCGTGGCTTCAGCTCAAGATCCGGATCACCACCATTATCCAATTGCATTTGGTGTAGTTGACAGTGAGAATAATGCAAGTTGGAATTGGTTTTTCAGTAAATTGAAATCAGTTATACCAGATTGTACTGAGTTGGTCTTCTGTTCTGATAGAAATCAAAGCTTGATCATGTCAATAAGTACGGTGTATCCGTTGTCTCACCATGGATATTGTATTTATCACTTGTCTCAGAATGTCAAACTGAGCTGTAAGAACGTGAACAGAGATG